CTACACAAGGGTCCTCCATCATTAATGCCTCTTTAATAAAAACCCTTCTCAAGCCTGCTTTACTTCCAAAGGAAACTGGAGTCCTTCACTGCAAAGGCCATCAAAGGGCCTCAGACCCCATTGCTCAAGGCAACAATTATGCTGATAAGACAGCTAAAGAAGCAGCCAGTATTCCTACTTCTGTCCCTCATGGCCAGTTTTTGCCTTCTCATCAGTCACTCCTACTTACTCTCCCACTGAAAATTCCTCCTTCCAGCCTCACAGGCTCATTCCATTCTATCAACCTTTCATAACCTCTTCCATATGGGTAACAAGCCACTAGTATGCCACTAAGAACCTCTCATTTCCTTTAAGACGTTTGCCCTGCATTTCACTCCATCCTTGGCTACCTTCCCCTTGGTCCTCAGACTCTCCTCCCAGCCCCCTTTCTTGTTTACTTATACCCAACCCCATGAATAGCAATGAAAGGTTGCTTGTAGACGCTATGCGCTTTCTCATACACCATAAAAATCAATGCCCCACCCCCCACCCAGTTGCCCCATCAATCCCCGTTACAGCTTCTAATGGCTGCTGCCCTTACTAAATCCCTAAGAGTCTGGGTGCAAGACACCTCTTTTGCTGCTCCTGGCCATCTTTTCACTTTACATTTCCAGTTTTGCCTTACAAAAGTCTCCCCTTCCTCTGTGGCTCCTCCACCTACACGTGTCTACCTATCAATTGGACAGGCACATGTACACTAGTTTTCCTCACCCCACAAAATCAATTTGCAAATAGGACCAAACAGCTTCCTGTTCCCCTCATGACACCAACACTTTACTACTATTTTGTTTTGTTTTTCTCATTATTAATAGAAGAAGACAGGAATAGGCCTCGACTTACTGCTGAAAAAGGAGGACTCTATATTTTTAAATGAAGAGTGTTGTTTTTAGCTAAACCAATCTGGCCTGGTATATGACAACATAAAAAAAAAAAAAAAAAACAAACTCAAGGATAGAGGCCCAAAAGTCACCCACCAAGCAAATAATTATGCTGAACCCCTTTTGGCACTCTCTAATTGGATGTTCTGGGTCCTCCCAATTCTTAGTCCTTTAATATCTGTTTTTTTCCTTCTCTTATTCAGGCCTTGTGTCTTCTGTTTGGTTTCTCAATTCATACAAAACCTCATTCAGACCGTCACCAATCATTCTATATGATAAATGCTACTTTTAACAACCCCACAGTACCATCCTCTGCCCCAGGATCTCCCCACAGCCTAAATTCCTAATCCTTTTAACTCACTATCAAATTTTCTTTAAGGTGTCTGTGCAGTCACTGGTCACGCTTGAAGCAGTCCCGAGAAACATCGCCCCTACCCCAATAATCCCCAGTAAAACTTATATTTTCTTTATCTTTTCTTATAACTTCATATTTTATAAGTAAAAAGACAGGAACGTCAGGCCTCTGAGCCGAAGCTCAGCCCTTGTAACCCCTGTGACCTGCACATATACGTCCAGACGGCCTGCAGGAGCCAAGAAGTCTGGGGCAGCCCAAAACTGCAAAAAAGAGGAAACAGCCAGCTGCTGTCTTAACTGATTGACCAACCTTATGACATTCCATTATGGCTTGTTCCTGCCCTGCCCCAACTGATCGATCGACCTCGTGACATTCTTCTCCTGGACAAAGAGTCTTATGATATCCCCATCATGCACCTTGTGACCCCCTCCTCTGCTGATAATAGATAACCACCTCTAACTGTAACTTTCCACAGCTTACCCCGGTCCTATAAAACTGCCCCTCTCCTATCTCCCTTTGCTGACTCTCTTTTCAGACTCAACCGACTTGCACCCAAGTGAAATAAATAGCCTTGTTGCTCACGCAAAGTCTGCTGGTGGACTCTCTTAACACGGACTCATGTGACACAATTAATTTAAATTTTCACAGAGGAGATTAACCAGTTTGCACAGAGAGAAAGAGGCCAGAGACTGATGTAAGAAATTCTTACCCTTCTGTCTGCATGCCGGGTTTCTGGGTTCTCTCTCCCTGAGCAGCTCTGGTGACCCTGCCTGACTGTTTGCAAACAAACACATTGCCATGAATCAAGAATATTCACAAACACTTTACAAATTTTGAAGAAATTAGGCAGAGAGAGAGAAATATGACTCAAATTCTATTTGTGAGAATACACTCTACACACTTGAAGTATCAGGAAGCCTACAAGCCAAAGTTTGTTTAAAGATAAAAAGCTGGTGTGCTCCATTAATTCCTGTAGCCCAACAAAGGTAGCTTTAGGAATTCCAGATAAATGGAACGAATGATGACTTGCTAGAAATGCATAGGAGACAAAATAACTATTCACAGAACCAAATAAAAGCCTTCTCCTAGCATGGGTTTATATGGAGAGACACACAAAGCCAAAGGAGACTAAACAGGAAACCAATGAAAACTAGAAGCAAAAACAAATAAACAAAACAAAACAAAAACCCCTAAATTTTCATACTCAACTTACCCTGGAAAGTGCAGTGTTACCTAGGGCCCCCAAAAACCCACATAATGACTATTCCTGATATACAATTCAATATCCTTAAGTTCACCAGTATCATTAGACATTCTGTGCAATCAAGAAATCCACTTTAGGTACATGACCAACAAGTACTCTGGCACTGTTCACGGAAAATGGTAAACACAGAGGGAAGCAATGCAAGCATGTGTGTGGAAATTGGTTTTACGCTAAATTCAGCCTCATGCTTAACCGTAGTGAAAAAAGAATTGCGAAACTGCCGATGCATTTTTACAATACTTCTTACCTTAATCAACACTAAGAGTTTTAACTATGAAAATGTTCATTAGCGAAATGTTTCCAATTCTTTATCAGGTTTTGAGGAATATTTTATTATTTAAACTTTTTCCACTCCTTTCTCCCCTACTTAATGATTCCTTACTACATTGATTCATAAATAATGTTTTCAAATCTGTAATTTGAACTAACTTTTATACAACTTCTGAATTAGACAAAATTATTCTTTTTTCCACTAATAACATAAGCCTTTCTGGCACATTTTGTATACAGAATTACGTGCTAAGTAGAATTTTATTTTTAGTAACTTAAAACTTTAGGGAAACCCTAAAAAGCAAACTCTGAACTATTAGATATGGGCATTTATAGGGAAGAATAATTCCACAATTTTAGAAACACGTTTCTCCATATTACAACCCGTTTTTAATTGGAAATGACCCATAGATCAAATGAGCATTAAAAATAGCTTTTAAGATTTTAATTTACACAAAACGTTTGCTTAAAATAACTATCCTCTTTACTGTACTCAATTTTTTACTTTTAACAAGGGAGACATCAATCAACATTTGCCAAATGAACCTTGGTTTGGTCCGGAAAGGGGGGACAACTCAAAGAGAGGAGGGGGCTTGGGGCTTTCAGAGCATGGGTGGGAGACAAATGGTTGCATTCCTTTGACTTTCTGATTAGCCTTTCCAAAGGAAGCAATCGTATATGCATTTATCTCAGTGAGACTTTGAATAGAATGGGAGGCAGACTCGCCCCTAGCAGCTCCCAGCCTGAACTAACGTTTTAAAATATCTAGCAAAGACAAACATAAAATTCAGACAAAATGCATGCTGACAATTCTGAGGGCATTTCTCTTTTTATTCCACCAATAATTGTAAAGCCAACTTGTTTAGTAAAGTTATACTTACGTGAACTTGAAAATTGCTCAGACTTATTTTATTTAATTTATGAGCATTCTTTTACTTATAACCAATTTGGAAGACACAATATATAACAATAAATATATATACAAATAACCACATCTAGACACACATAAACGAAGAGCCAATAGCTTGGAACCTTGGCCATGAGATAACAATACAAGCTTGCCGGTTTTACTTTGCCCCAGTAGATAATCCAAGGAAGGCTGTCAACCAAAAGTTGGGGTACATCAGTCTCCAAGACAGTTTGATTTTTAAAGGCTAAACCTCCCCAGACTCCAAGGAGCACTGGGGCCAAACAGTACCAAAGGAGAGTGTCACTGCTTAGAACCAGGCTCCCTGCTTAGAACAGCAGCACAAAAGCCTGAATATATGCAATTCCATCCCACTTTCCAATTAGACAGTAAACTTCAGATTCTAAGCAATTTTGGGGCCAAACAGCATTGCAACTGTGAGAGAAAATTCCAAGGAGGGCTTATTACTAGACCTCAGAACCTCTGCCAGGAACATCCTCTTTGGAGAGTTTGAGGTCCAAAGGATCCCCCGGAGCATCCACTTGTGGGGTCTAATCTTAGAGCTCCAGATGTGTCTGGCCTTAGGTAGGCACTGGTGCCACTTTGCATGTGTTCCCTCCAGAGCCTCCTGTGAGCTTTCCTTTGGTACCTGGGTGTAATCCCCAACTTTGAGCATCCTTATAATTTGATAAGGCCATGCTTTTCCATGCTTCTTGTTCCATGAACTTTAATGATAGGAACTGGAGGCTGGGTGGGTTTCCTTCACCCTTAGCCAGTTGAATAGGGGAAGGGAAGAATTTAGCATAGGAAAAGAAGGTTTCAGTCACCTGAAACATGTGCGAGTTTGCTCTGAGCTGTGCCACATATAGGGATCAGGGACCACACACCGAAAACATATAAAACAGATCCTTCCCCTTCGGGGCAGGCCGATTATTCCTATTCATTCTTAGGCCTTCAGGCAATACCAGGGAGTGACCCCAGTCAATTGCCCTCAATTTCCAAGGAGCTACTAGGAAACAGCCATTGAAAGACTGAAAAAGAAAGAGGAAAACAATGAAAGAGATCCACATTCCTTAAGTGAACCGGGTGGTGGCGGTCAGGCTTCTCCACATGGAAACCCCTTAGTTTCACTGACCATGGCCAGAAACCTGAAGTCACTTCCATGTTTAGATGCTGCCCACCAAGGGCTCCAGGTTGGAAAGGAAGGGAGAGAGAAAGAGATTCCCCTTTATGGAGTAGAAAAGAAAAGGAGAAAGGAGAAGAATAAATCCCAAATTTGGGGCTTACCTCTTCCTCCTTCCTGGGTCACCAAAATATGTTAATGATGGAGGGTGTCCAGGTTCTCGGGGGTATTTAAACTCCCAAAAATTCTATAACGGGGCCTTTGAGCCCCTCTGATCAGGCTCACTCCCACACTGTGGACTGTACTTTCACTTTCAATAAAACCCTTCATTCCTTCCTTGCTTTGTTTGTGCGTTTTGTCCAATTCTTTGTTCCATTGGTTGCTTTGGGTACGCCCTATGTAAATGGGGAGGATGAAGTAAAGTTACAAAGTCATTTACAGCATACGCCCTATGGAGAGGATATTTCCTGTTATAGCTGAAGTGTGAATCAGCCTTATGTTCCCTGCCTCCAGACCCTATTTTCCTGCCTCAAAACCAGCTTTGAAAAACCCTCAGTCTACCAGCCTTTGATGAGATTGATTTAAGTAATAACTCTCTCCCATGTGGCGTGGCTGGCCTCATGTCAATTACATTTTCTTTGCTGCAATGCCACGCTCTCTGTGAATTGATTTTGTTTGTGCAGCAGGCAGGAAGAACAGTCCGGTGGTTACATCAGCCTTTCCACAAACAAATAAACAAGCCAACAGGCCAAGACATCCAGTATTTATCACTTTTTTTTCCTCTTAATATGTGGAGTTGAAAATTTATATACCATTTATAAACATTACAAAATCTTTCAAATGTTATTTTAAGAGCACCCTTATATTTTCTGCACCTCTTCTACACTTACAATGTTGTAAACAATGGGTGGGCAATAAAACAGGTTTCTGAGCCAAGCTAGTGTTCTCCTTCAAGAAGGCATCATTGTTTCTGTGAATGCTTCAATGTTTTATTTTCCTCACAGAGAAAACAAAGCAGAGTAAAATGAAACAAAAAGAATACAAACACACACGCACTGTGCAGCACTATTTACCTGCCCTGCATTCCTCCTACTTTTTCCCTCTAGAACATACATTTCTGCAGATTTCTATCTGCCTCTGCCTCACATTGGGAAAAATTTCATTGCATATAAACACAAGATAGCAAAAAATTACTTAGTGACTGCCTGCTTGCAGTAGACAACTGTGACTTGCTTGTTTTTGTTTTGTTTCTGTTTTCTTGTTGGAACCGAACTGTCGATTCCTTCCTGGGCAGGGGTCGCCGCGAAGGATCACCGACACGAGATTCACAGCAGAGAGTTATTTATTACTAGCGCGCTAGGGTCCCAAGCTCTAAGTTGGCCCTGGGACCCTGACTGCTTGTTACAGGCTGTTTATATAGGCAAACACAAGTTCAAACACAGCTTAGGGCGCGAAATTCAAACAAAGCTTTAGGCGCGTGGTAATTGGGTCTGTCTATGGCCTGAGCAAGGTGTCTTGTTCTAATTGGTTAGAGCAGGACCTTATGAAGTTTTTTCCTGGAGTTGTTGATTCCGGGAACTTCGAGGCAGGGTGGGACCCCCGGAATTGGCAGGGTGGGACCCCATGAGGTTGTTTCCCGGAATTGGCAGGGTGGGACCCTATCAGGGTGGGACCTTATTGAGAGGCAGGGTGGGACCCTATCCAGAGCCACCTGGTGTTAATTTTTTAAGTTCTTTTTTTATGAGGCCTAGTTTCTAAGTTTTATGCGGCCTAGTTTCATTCTCTCTTACCACAATTAATCCCCCTTTTGAAATTAGCACTTGATTTTTCTTTTTTTTTTTTTTTAGATTCGCCTTCTCCCTTCTCACCACCATCCCTGCAGCTCCATGCATCTCCTTCATATGGGGCTGACTTCAACCTCAGGATGCAGGGCAGTCACCTAACCCAGGCCTGACCAATCAGGTCACACCTCTTAGAGAGTATTGAAAGGGCAGGCTTGAAGGCCACTGAGATCTCTTCCTGGGGCTTTGCTGAGAATACTGAGGGAAGTTGCCGTTTCTTCTGTTGGTTTTCTCTGCTGATAGATGAATAGCTTGGAGATGCAGGTGTTTATCTTGTTTTATTTGGGAAGCGTCTACCTGAACATTACAGAATAAAATAGATCCAGATATGAAAATCCCATTACCTGAAGACATTTTTGATAACCTGGTCCCCTCTTGTACCTTTCAGCTGCATAAGAAAAGACATTGCCTTATTTGTGTGTTCATGTATGTCTTTCTTTATAGGCTTAATCACAGTGGAGGTAGGTCTTGCTCACTTTCATCTGAGACCTGATGAGTATGTTGATCACACACTCTGCACCTTACTGCGTTCACCCCATTCTATCCATTCTGCCTCTGGGTTTTGAAAACATTGCTTCTTATTCTCAAGATACCTTCCCCCTTTGTCAGATTGGTAGCATCCCAGCTATTCAAATAAATGCTCCCTCTTCTACCGCTCTCCCTGGATGGGCCAATGGTCTGCCCTTTAGCATTCACAGCTTTGGTCTACTGCACTGGACTATGAGTGACCCGGGGTGGAGACTGTGTCTGAGTCATCTTTATTTGCAGTACCCACCACAAAATGTTCATGCTGAACAAGCAGAGGAGGCGCCACATCCTGTTCTTTACAGATTTTGATTACTGTCAGGTGCCTGGCTGGTTGGAAAAAAGAATCTTCCACTTTCCTGGCTTTCTGAGTGTCTTTCTTTTCTGGATCTTCATCAGGAGATGGGCTGAGCCACACCAAGCTCATGCAGTCCTGTTGCTTCAGGGGATGTTCAATATCCAGGTAGCCGCAAAAACAGAAGGTAGATAGTTATGAATCTACCTTTTAGTCTCTTTCTGCCTTAACATACCGTAATTTTGAAGAGGCTTTCTTTGCTTTTTACTTGAATGTGCTTGTGTCTGAGGGAAATACTGAGATACAGACATCCAGCAGAAAATGTTTCCTGGCATTGGAATCCGGCACACATCCACCTCTTCTGTGTTTACCCCAATGCTGCTGTTAGTGAAGGAACAGGCAGAGACCCTGAGACAGCCTGGGAGTCACCTACAGGAAGAGACAGGGCTCCTCCTGAAGAGGAAGTCACCGGGGTCTGGCAAGCAGGTCAGCTCACTTTATTACCACCCGGGGCCCAGGTCTCTTTCTATCCTTCATGGAGTGGTTCCCAGCTCTAATAATGAAAACACTTAAGGAGCTTTCCAAAACAAGGATTCCTGAGTCCTATCCCAGATTTAGAAGTCTGGAGATCTAGCAGTAGTCACCTGGGGAATTCTTGTTTTTTGTTGTTGTTGTTGTTGTTGTTGTTGTTGTTGTTTTTACAAAGCTCTTCAAGTTTGACAACCACTACCTTAAAACACACACTTCTACCATTTCAGTCAATTAAAGATGCAATATTAACATATTCTCTGTACCTCCCAGAAAACCAGAGCACAAAGGCCTTTAATTTCCCAGGATTGGCCCATGTTACAGAAAGGAATCCTAACAGATTCGAACATCTTCTGTTGCACCACAGTAGGGTGCTTGGAAAATATGTTGTTTTCTGTCTCCCTCCAGGCATACACCTAAGAGAGCACTTCACAAAATTATTGACTGAGAAGTGGCCATGTGTCTTGTTTTGGCCAATTAAATGTGAGCAGAAATCATGTGGGTCACTTCCAGGTGTAAGATGTAAGAGGCTTGCATCCTTCATCTTGCTCGTTTGTCTCTCTCTGCCATGACAGCTGACCATCTTCCAGAAAGGCAATGCCTAGCAAGTCTGGCTCAGAGGTCAGGACAAGCAATGTCACGGTGGAGCAGCCTTCTGAGGTGAACGAGTAGCCTGAAAATCCTAAGTAATCTCCAAAAACCTTCTAGAATTTATGCGTGAATTTAGCATGGTCTCAGAATACAAGGTTAACACTCCAAAATCTACCATATTTCTGTATCTTACCAGTGTACAATTAGAAACCCAAATTAAAACACACACACCCCCCCCCAATGCTATGTAGAATAGCTCCCCTAAAGTGAAATACATTGATATAGATTTAACAAGACATGTAAAGTTTGGTATGTTGGAAATGACAAATGCTGATAACAGAATCAGTGAATACCTACATAAAATGAGAACGAATTCATGTCAACATAGTAAAGATGTTACTTTTCCCCAAATGGATCTTTAAATTTAATGCAATACTAGTTAAAATCTCACCAGGATTTTTATAGTTATAGATATGCTAATTCTATAATATATATGGAAAAGAAAACAAATTAGAAGACCAAAACAATGTTGAAAATCAAAAATATAGTTGGAAGAAACAGTACCCAATTTTAAGACTTACTATTAATTGATAGTAATCAACACATTGCTGCAGTAAGGAAAAGATGGCTACTCCCAGGACCTAGACTGTGATCTTTAAATGCTATTAACCAGTAAAGAGAACCAGAGCCCCAAAAGGAAATGGCTGATTCCAAATATTGGTCGGAAAAGGCACAAAATGAACCTATGTATCTTGTTATAATTGAAAGCAAGGACACCGTCAACTATTAATGCAATTTAGTCAAAAAAAAAGATACAGGGACCTGACCAAAGGCCATCCCTCTGGATAAATAAGTGACAATCTGAGGATAAAAAAAAAAAAAAGATATCGGCAATACTTTGTAACACACAAAACAGCCAAAACGAGTAACGTTTTGAGCTTACTAGGCTACCATGTTACCATTTTGACTTTCAGAACTGTAATATTGGCCAGGCATGGTGGCTCACACCTGTAATTCCAGCACTTTGAGAGGCCAAGGCAGGCAGATCACTTGAGGTCAGGAGTTCAAGACCAGCTTGGCCAACATGGTGAAAACCCGTCTCTACAAAAATACAAAAATTAGCCAGGCATGATGGCAGGTGTCTGTAATCCCAGCTACTCAGGAGGCTGAGGTGAGAGAATTGCTTAAACCTGGGAGGCGGAGGTTGCAGTGAAGCGAGATCATCCCATTGCACTCCAGTCTGGGTAACGGAGTGAGACTCCATATCAAGAAAAAAAAAAAAAAAAAAAAAAGAACTGTAATATAATAAATTTATATTGTTTTTAGCCACTACATTTGTCACCACTTACTAGGGTAACGTTAAGAAATTTTTCTATTTTCTGTAGAGGCCCTGGAGCTCCTTAGCTTTGGGATAAGCCAGTACTTTCCCCAACTGTGGGGTCAGCACGTGGAAGTGAGAAAAAGGAAGGACCATCATGGTCTGCAGTGGTCAGGGAAGGCTGCCTGGAGGAGGAGAAAGTGGAGGAAGCAGCGAGCCTGGAGGGATGGGGTCAATACCTTAAAGCATCTGTCAGCCATGGGGATCAGATTTTTTAAGCAGTCACAACACTAGACTTTTAATTCAGAAAGTTCTGTAAGCAAT